TTGTTTTGTGGGACCGGGGATTGAACCTCAGGGCCTTCACACCGAGCTACAATGCCTCTCTTCTTTTAAGTTTTTATTTTGAGGCTGGGTCTCTCCAGGTTGCCCAGCTGAGGCTTGAACTTGCCTTCTTGCCTCAACCTTCCAAAATGCTGGGATTACAGGCATGTGCCACCATGCCTCATTTGTAAGACTATTTTATAGTAGACCTACTTAATCTTATATTATTCATTTGCTAAATATTATTTCCATCTTTTGTATCCTGTTAATTTTATTTATATATTTTCATGGAAAACTTTATGTTCAAATTTATTTCTTTAATTGCATTTGTGTTTAGAAAATCAACTAAATGTTTAACTACTTTTTTCTGTTTTTTAATTATTGCATTTTCTTTAACCCAACTTTTATGTTGGTTCTGGCATGGAAATGGAACATATACTTTTTTTTCCCTCTCAAATATCAAAATTTCACCATATAATTTTTTTGGGGAAAAAAATCCACTCATCTTCCTTCAAATTGCAATGTTTCCTTTTTTATATGTTATTACTTAGATGCCAGGGTCTGATTCTCAGCTATTATGTGTCCTTGCTCTTTTTTCCATTACCAACACCACCGTCTTAGCGTTGCTCTACCAGTTATATTTGTTTTTTTCTCCTGTTTTTTTTTTTTTTTTTTCTGGTACCGGGAATCAAACTCACGACCTCACGCTTGCCAGGCAGGCGCTGTGCAGCTGAGCTAAATCCCCAACCCCTGTTGCACCAGTTATGTCAAAGCAGCAGATGGGGCAAATGTCTCCTCATCCTCCTCACTTTCCTGCGCATTCTGGTCCACTGTGCTCAGTGAGTTTTTAAGGATTTTGTCGGGTTCTCCCAAATGTCTGCTGAGACCCTCGGTAGAATCCCACTGTGCACTAAGTTGAAAAAAATCACTGTCTTCCAGCCTTCTTCTCCACCAAGGAACGTGGCCTGGTGCACTGGATTCAAACTCACCTTTTGTTTAACCTCTCAAAGGACTATTGCTGGACATTTTATTTTACCACCATTGTGCCTGACCCCTTTTTCCGTATGGATCCCAGTTATTCATCACTGAACCACACAGTGTGACTGAGTAGAGGTTACCCGTCCACGACTGCCACTTCGTTTTCTTGTTCACCCTAACAGGGTTTCCCATCGGCTTGGGCCGGAGTTAGGTCCTCAGCACTCACAGTCAGCACATCATCTGGAATCTTCCTTCTCGGTAATATCCTTATTTCTCCGTCACGTTAAATACAAAAGGTAACAACAGTGCTTGCTTAGTTTTCCTGTAAGTTCATGCCTCTTTCTCATGCTGCAAAATAAAATGCATTCAGTGTCTCTATGCTTGGTGTCTCTGCCCGAGGCAGCTCTGCCCAGGCTGCCTCTCAGCTGTGGTCACGAGCAACGGCGCTCACAGCGCGGTCTGGGGGACGTATACCGCCGCTGTGCTTTCATCCCTGGACACGTGACGGCATTGGAGAGCCACACCTGCTTACGTCCTCTGGGCCCTCATTGCCTCTGTAGAGTAGTAACTTTGCCTTCCTCCTTGACTTACACCAAGAATAATCTTAAATAATCTTAAAAATCTAGGGTCACAGTCATTGTTTCAGATTTTCTAAGGCCATGGTCCCCAACATCACTTAGTACCTTAAATACTATAAAGACTGTTGCTACAAATGTCTTTGGTACTCTAGTCCCAGACAAAAACTACTTCTATAAGTCACTAATGTTGGATTTCAGCACCATTGGTCCTTTGAACTGCAGAGCCCAAAGCGTTGTGGGGCTTGCTCAGTTGTCCAGACAGGACTGTGGTAGCACAAGGGTTGGTTTGGTTCATGAAGGTCTGTGTGTGTGTGTGTGTGTGTGTGCGTGTGCGTGTGTGTGTTTAAGCAGATACAGTCAGGATAAAGCCAGCCTTGTTCAAGGGCAAACAGGAGTGAAAAAGTCAGAGTAAGTTTCCTCCCCCAAAGAAGAACAGAGGAGATAGAGTTATTGTCAGAAAAAGCCCTTTTATATGCAAATACAAAAGGTACCTACCTGAGGCCAGGCATGGTGGTGCACATAGCGAGTCCCTGTCTCAAAAGACCAAAAAGGTACATACTGGAATCCAAAATCCTCTCACTGAAAAATGCTTTAACATTACAGGTTTGGTTTTTCTAAAGATTATTACCAGGAATAACCATCTAAAACTGTTCTGAATTTATTACTTTATAAATCTAAGGGCCAGGCATGGTGATTCCAGTACTCTGGGAAGCTGAGGCAGGAGGATTGCAAGTTCAAAACCAGCTCAGGCAGTTGAGTAACTTAGTGAGATCCTATCTTTCAATTAAAAAAACAAAGAAAGAAAAGAACTGGGGATGCAGCTCAGTGTGAAGGCTCTTGGTTCAATCCCTACTACTGCAGAAAGAGGTGAGGGGGACAGAAAGAAAGAAGAGAGAGAGGAAGAAAGAAAGAAGGAAAGGAAGAAAGGAAAGAAGGAAGGAAGGATGGAAGGAAAAGCAGAAAAGAAAAGAAAAAAAAAAAAAAAAGAAACTCTCATCCAGAACACATCTAATGTTCAGTGTCTCAAATTTAAGGTCCCGGATGAGAAAGTTCATTCAGGATCAAGTTAAGGGAACGCTCTGGCTCCCTTTTCACATCACAAAGCTTGTTCATTTTGCACAAGGACATCTGGGTGTTAGTGAGGTCCCCTTTCCTCTCCCGACCATCAAGAAGCTCAAAATAAAAGTCTGGCACTCGCTGAGAGCAATTACACAGGCCCGCAGAGCCCACAGGTTACCCACTGCGCTGTTCTGATTTCCCCTCATTAATGGCCTCGCCATTAATACATCCCGGAGGTCATTCCAAATCTGTTTTGGACAAGGCTGAGTGCGTGCTCCATGGGTCTGTCTGCTTTACCAGGCTGGCAGCCGCTGACAGTGGTGCAGAGGAGGCCCAGGGACAAGATACGGGTGACGGCAGCCCCACTCTCACACTCCTCCTAGTAACTGCTGTGTGACCTACGGAGACCGCACAGATGAAGCCTGCCAGGCTCTGTGGGGGACTGGAGGGCGTGGCCCCACCCCACGGAGGAAGCTGCCGCTCAGCTCAGAGAGGAGCTTTGCCTCTTGAAGTAATGCAAGTCTTAGGTTACCAGAGCTTACTATTTTTCAAGAAAAGCTAGAAATCTAGACTTTAAAGCGAATCGCAGTTCTTAAAATATTGGTAACAAATCCATATGTTTTTGTTTGTCCCCCCCCCCCCCGTACCAGGAATCGAACTCACCACCTCGCGCTTGCCAGGCAGGTGCTGTGCCGCTGAGCTAAATCCCCAACCCCACCTTTTTTTTTTTTTTTTTAAACCCATATGCTTAAAAAACATTCTCAGCCAATGGAAAATAGCATAGTGGCTGCTCGGTGGGGGAAGGGGGAAATGGGAATAATCCTTCAATAGGTACAAGCTTTCAGCCCTGAGCAATGAATGGATCTTAGAGACCTGCTGTGCTGCACAGTACCTAAGGTTAGCAATATGGCATTGTTCACTTAAAATGCATTTCTAAGGCAGAGCTCATCAACAAGAACAGTGTTCTCCAAATGATAAGAAAAGCGGGCCCTGGAGTCACTGGTGTCTGCCCTTAGCCAAACTCATCCGGTTGCCCGCGGGCAGTGCATGCAGTTCTTGGGGTACAGACCTCAGCAAAGCTGTTGAACAAAGAACAGCCCGTCATCGCAGGCCACCCCCTGTGAGTTACACCTGGGCCTCTGGGCTGCCTGAGACCTGGGAATAGGAGTCAGGAACCCAGTTGCCAGGCCAGTGAAACAGGGGCTTTGCCGGCACAGCGGTGTTGATGTTATAAGGCACCAAGGATCACAAAGATTTAAGCCTCTGAGAACCCCGAGGTGCTGAACTCTGCCTCACATTCAGTGAGTGTGCTTCTGCCTGGACCTGCAGGCTGGGAAGACAGCCTCCCCCTGTGGGCCTGCGCAGCATTCCCCACGTGAGAGGAGCAGAGCTGCAACGTGACTTTTCCAATCCAGGTCCAAAAGCATCTGCTCAGAGCCCGCACAGGCACGCACACGTGGCAAAGAGCTTGCCGCTTGTGTTCGGCCAATGTACAGCTACAGAAGAATTTTCTGAAATCCGTTGCTGCAAACGCTTCATGAGCAGAACTTTCAAAGGCAATGGGAAAAATAACGTGATGGAGAAAAGGACTTCAGAGTAAGTAAAACTCAAAGCGTATGATAGATGATAGAAAAGGGAAAGAAATTGCTCAAACGAAAGAACGACTGGGATGAGAGAAAGAAGGAAAAAAGAAAGAAGGAAGGCAAACTATAAATATATATATGAATAGCTGTGATAACTGCACTGCTGATGTCTGATGGTATATTGAAAGGAACAGTCAATGCTTAAAATTTTTTCTGTTCTGACCAATTTTGCATGCTTATTCTGGTAATCTGAGCAACCGATTTGAAGGTAACAATATGCAATGGAACTACCATGATGAAGTCCTACCATCTTGTCTAGTGAAATTCTGTATTATCTCTAATGTTCTATCTAATAATTATTTTCTTATTCTTTTTAATAGTTTGAACAATCTTCCATTCTTACACCAGGTAATCTGAGCAACGTAGTGGAAGATAACAATCTGTAATATAACAACCACTACTAATTCCTATCATTTTGTCTTGAAACCCTGTATTACTTCTAATGTTCTTGCTTCGTTTTGTTTATGTCTGTGATGTTGGTATGCTGCTATTGTTCTGTTTTTCCTCTCATTTACTACTCTCTTTAAAATAAAGTTTAAAAAAAAGAAAAGGACTTCCAATCTCTACTGAAGGAGTTTCTAATCTCTCTTCTCCTATAAGCAGAAACTTAGTCACAATATGCTCTGATCCTTGTGCTCTGAAAGGCCAGTCTTCACACTCCCAATTTAAAAAGCTCTGTCATTTAGATATAATTTGTTATACCTGTTCATTTTTGCAAATTAAGAAAAAAACATAAGCTATAATCTGCAGTTTGCAATGTTCTCAGAATATACGGTTACTTTAATTCTGTAATTATTGCTTCGAGTTTTTCCTTCTGAGCACCACAAAGCTCACCCACCTTTTCTTCTTTTTTATAAAAGTGAAAGGTTGGGAGACAAACAATCTCACAGTCTCTCACCAGCTCATCAGAGTCATCGGCGTCCACTTCCAGGAACATGACGTCGTTGTGCTTCAGAGACAAAGAATGGAAAAGCGGCCGGATGGTCCTGCAGGGCCCACACCATGTGGCTGAGAAGTCCACAGCCACCAGCCTCTCCCCAGCCTCCTTAAGCGCCTCCTGGAAGTCCTGCTTGCCCATGATCACCTTCACCACATCCTCCGTGGGGAGCTCCACTGATTCTTTTTTGGAGTCTTCCTTGGGCTCCACGGTTTCCTCTGAGGACTGGGAGGTGTCACCCTCTCTGGGCTGGGGGGCTTCCTCTGGGAGCTTGGGGATGGCATCCTCGCTGGGCTGGGTGGCTTCCTCTGAGGACTTGGGGACATCGTCCTTTCTATGTTGGGCTGTACTTGCTAAAGACTTGGGAATGTTCTCTTGTTTGGGCTGGGTATTTTTTGCCAAGGACTTGGGGGTATTACTGTGTTTGGACTGGATGGTGTTTGCTGGGGCCTTGAGAATGTTCTCTGGGTTGAACTGCTTGGTTTTCTCTGAGGCCTTGGGAATGCTCCCTCGGTGGAAATGGTTGGTTTTGTCTGAGGCCTTGGGAATGCTCCCTCGGTGGAAATGGTTGGTTTTGTCTGA